TCTTGACCCTTCACACTGTCTGCCAATCTGAATCTTGCCTACTTTTATCTGCTGAACAAATGCCCTTCCCCAGAACCCTATCAGACTAGATCATAGTGGCCCTGGACTAAGTCACATAAAAGCTGAAGTCAATAGATAGAATTGCCATCATTTTGCATCCTCACATTTTTCAGAACCCTGTGCATTGGCTGGCCAAGTGACCTCGGATGTGGTCCTTCTTACTGAGCTCTATCTGGGCCTCTCAGATATCTACCTGTGGGCTTGTGGCAGGGCTTCTCTATAAAGTGCTCTCTAAAGCACTTTAGTTACACTGAACTTTTCTAGGCAGCCCAAATCCACACAATTCATGTCCACATGACATAAACAGATAGCCCTGTTGACTCCTTGAGCTCTGGAGTGGTGTTGCTGCTTTAAAGCAGGCAACTCAGTCACCAGGTTTGATCTGTCCCAAGGGAATCTGCCTATAACAAGATCCACAAAACTAGCAAGAACCATGGCTCTACTGATTTCACTTTGGAAACGAGGCCTAAAGAAATGACTCTAAAGAAAATAAATTCACGTGAAAGACAACAGTAGTGAATTTACACCACTAAGAAAAACCAAAAAGGCCAGGTGCGGTGGCTTGCACCTGTAATCCTAGCATTCTAGGAGGCTGAGGTGAGTGGATTGCTTGAGCTCAAGAGTTCAATACTAGCCTGAGCCAGAGTGAGAATGCCAGGCACCACTGCTGAGCCTCTCTCCACCTGTGCCTCTCCTCCAGGTACCTGGAAGCTTGCTGAAGCCCCTGCCTGGGAATTACCTGCCCAGGCTAGGGGGAAACTGCCACATTGTTTATTCCATGACATGCCTGGATGCTGGGAAGAGACAAATATGACTGTCTCCAATTTCAGGGAACTCATAACTATGGTATAAATGAGTGTGTAGACCTTAAAGTTTCTGTAATAGAAGCCTGGATGGGGTTCCAAGAATTAGGGAGTACACAGTCCGATCTCCCTAAAGATAACCATTGTTCACTGAGCCCTTAGTATGCACTAAGCACTTTCCTTATATTGTTCATTTCACTCTCATCAAAACACTTTGAGGTTGGCTCAGTCCCCACATATACTGGGGTTGGTGAGTTCAAACCCAGTCCAGGCCTGCTAAACAATAACAACTATAACAACCCCATAATTGCATTAATATAAACAGCTATGATTTAATTAAAAAAAAAATAACAACTACAACAAAAAAAAAATAGCTGGGCATTGTGGCGGGCACCTGTTGTCCCAGCTACTTGGGAGCCTGAGGCAAGAGAATTACTTAAGCCCAAGAGTTTGAGGTTGCTGTGAGCTGTGATGCCACGTACTTTACTGAGGGTGACATAGTGAGACTTAGTCTCAAAAAAAAAAAAAAAAAAAAACACCTTGAGGTAGGTATTATTATTCCCACTTTACAAATAAGGAAACTGAGGCACAGAGGGTAATCAACTTGCCTGGGGTCCCACAGCTAGAAACTGGCAGTGCTAGGATTCAAATCCCATTGTGCTCTAGAACCTGTGCTCTTAACTTGCTGTGGAGGAGCCAGCAGGGAGGGAAGGCTGAGCAGGGGAACACTTAAGCCAGACCCAGGACTCCGAAAGTGAGGCAGGGGTGGGGAAGGATGTGGGAGACAGAGAGTAGCATGAGGGCAGCTCAGGGCCTGCAGTGGTTCTGTGGCCTTAAGACTAAAGACTCAGGCTCAGCGCCTGTGGCTCAAGCGGCTAAGGCTCCAGCCACATACACCTGAGCTGGCGGGTTTGAATCCAGCCTGGGCCCGCCAAACAATGATGGCTGCAACAAAAAATAGCTAGGCGTTGTGGCAGGTGCCTGTAGTTCCAGCTACTTGGGAGGCGGAGGTAGGAGAATCACTTGAGCCCAGGAGTTGGAGGTTGCTGTGAGCTGTAATGCCATGGCACTCCACCCAGGGGGACAGCTTGAGGCTCTGTCTCAAAAAAAAAAAAGAGGAAGCAACAGTAGTAGCTAACAGATGCCAGTCAAAACATTTTTTTTTTTTTTTGTGAGACAGAGTCTTACTCTGTCGCCCTGGGTAGAGCACCGCGGCATCACAGCTAACAGCAACCTTCAGCTCTTGGGCTTAAGTGATACTACTCTTGCCTCAGCCTCCTTAGCAGCTGGGACTACAGGCGCCCACTACAATGCCCAGGTATTTTCTGGTTGTAGTTGTCATCGTTGTTTGACAGACCCAGGCTGGATTTGAACCCTCCAGCTCCAGTATATGTGGCTGAGGCCCTTGCCACTGAGCTACAGGTGCCAAGTCAAAACTTTTGGCTGTTGTTTTCTTTCTTTTTTGTGTGTAAGACAAGAGCTTCATTCCATCACTCTGGGTAGAGTGTTGTGGCATCATCATACTCACAACAACCTCAAACTCTCAGGCTCAAGCAATCCTCTTGGCTCAGCCTGCCAAGTAGCTGGGACTACAGGCGTGCCCTACAATGCCTGACTATTTTTTTATTTACTAGTTTTTCTATTTTAGTAGAGACAGGGTCTCACTTTTGCTCAGGCTGTTCTGGAACTGAGAGCAGGCAATCTACCCACCTCGACCTCCCAGAGCGCTTGGATAACAGGGGTGAGCTACCACGCCTAGCCTGGCTGCTGTTTTCAACAATAAAATAAAAATAAGCCATTAAGGACTTAGAGGGAAAAAAGGGGGAACAAGGTCTAAGAGATGTGAGATTTGAATCAAAAGCCAGGAAAGGTTGCCCTTGAAAATAAGGGTCCCATCTCCTCTGGGGGGAGGTGGAAGTAGGAATAAGTCTGGGGAGAATTAATGGCCTTGTTTACAGGACAAGGAGGCAAGGATGAGTGTGGAGGATGAGGTGGAAGGAGGCTGGTTCATGCCACCTGCATGTATGCATGTTTAGGTTTTACCTCAGACCACATGGGAGAATTTCCAGAAATCAGAATCTTTGACAACCCCCCCAGGCGATCCTGCAGCACCCAGCACCGTACAGCACCCAGTCTGGGCTACTGTGTGAGGAATGCTGGCTCCCCCAAGGGATCCTGAATGGGAAGGAGGAAGAAGGGTTGGACTTGGGAAGGTGTTTGGTTTCCAGACATTTCCTGTGGGCTCTCAGTAACCTCACTCTGAGCCAATTTCTTTCTTCCTGGAACAGGAGGGGGTAAGACTCACCTCAAGGCCTCAATTTTAGCAGCCCTGCCTTGGGGCAGGGAAACGGGTCACTGGAAAGAAGAATTAGATGTTCTGGGGGCAGTGATCTACCACAGGGTGACTAGAGGGAGACTGGACTAGCAGCCCCTAAATAAAGGCACAACTCTGATGACACAGCACAAAGAAGGTATGGCATCCTGAGCCTCATATGCCCAGCTCTACCTTTGGCCCAATAGAAGAAACACAGTCTGTGAACAGGTAGAAACTTTTTAATCAGCATTTAAAAAAATTTTTTTAATTTAAGTCCCAATTTTTCCTTAAACTACACATTCTTAGTTCCTTAGGGACAGAAAAAAGTTTGCAATGATATCAACTCAGCATTATCTGGCTACTCCTGATTCTGCAGTACTAAGACAGTGCCCAAGAGTCCTGCCTGCCAAGGTAAGAGTTCTCCAGGTGCCATTCAACTTGGACATCTGGGCTTACCAGTGGCTTGCTTGCAGGGTCTGACAAGCATAAAGCATTGAACAGTTTTGCAGGGGGCTTCATTAGTGCCTGCCAGGCCTGCACCATTTCATCCCTGTGCTCAGTTATTCCCCTAGCCCCTTTGCACTCTTCTCAGCATGTTTCCATGAATTTGACATTTGAAGGCGCAAAACCTGGGGCATGACACCTTTCACCAGTATTGAGAACAGGGAAAGGTGGAGAAAATTTCCCAGAGACAATGAGATGCATCTCCCACCATTTCAACTCCTAGCACCTGCCTCAGGCAGTGTTCTCAGTGAGAGCATAATAAGGAGGCCAAAAATTCAAATTCCTATCAATGCCTGCTACTTTCTGGTATGTAAGAGAAGCTTCCTAGAACTTTACAGGTGTAGTTGCAAAAGGTAAGTAAAGCCAGGACCCTGCAACCCATAATTTTTTCTTCTAGGGCCTAGTAGACTCCGTACGCTTTATTTTCTAAGAAATAGGTGTGTGTAACAAAAAGGAGCACCTTCTGTTCCTGCAACAAAGTGGCAACACCCCTCCCCCCCCAGCCTGGACCCTGTGCAGGTGGCCAGCCCAGCCATGAACCTTAGGACAGCACCAGATGGCCACATCCTGAAATGCACCCTCTGCCCCAAGCAACCAGAGCTCTTTCGACCCAGCATTTACCCAGCACCCCAACAACAGAACACAGAACTATATATCACAGCTCCTAGGTTGTAAACACTATGGCCAGAGACCCAACTAAGGCTTCCTTCCCTCCCTCCTTGAAAACTTAGATTCTACAGGTTGAATGTCCAGCTTCTTCCTCAAAGGTGGAACTATCCCATAGCCTATGAACACTCTCCTGGGTCATCTATAGGATCTCTAAGGAAACTCAGGACCTGGAGCCTCCTGATGTGGATGGGCTTGTGGCTAGAAACTAGGCCACCAAACTAAGTCAACTCAGGAGGGACAGCCTGAGGCTGGCTATGCCTCTGGGGCCTGTTTCTGTTGGGGCTGGTTCACAGCAGCCAACCTTTCCAAGAGCAGAGGTGCCCTCTCACCTCTATGACTTCTGGCTGATTCTGGGCCAGTCTACGGTGCAAATGGAAACTGGCTGTGGTACTTTGGGAAGGTAGGAAGGGGAGGATGACTAGAGACAAGACACCAGTGAGTGGCCAGGCCAGGCCGCCCCATTTCCTCCAATAGAGATTGCTGTTGTCCTGCACAAATCCTGTGAAGAAGACAGCCCTCACATGTGGCAACAGCGCAAATACAGGTAACAAGGCCAGGAGAGAGGATCCCAAGTGTCCTCTCCACAGAGAGAGGGGGCTATATACAAGGAGAAGAGGGGAGAGTCTGGCCAGGTGCACCCCCACCGCATCTCATTCAACCAGGAGGTCAAACTGCTCAGCAGCTTCAAACTCAGCATTCATGGCTGCGGCCCACTCATCCAGCTCTGATTTCTGGGGGAAGAGAAATGGGAAGCAGGTGAGTGGAGAAGGGGGGACATGGTGGCTGGAGCAACTTACCCACACCCTGCAGATGCTAACGTTCTCCTCAAAAGTGTCAGAACTAAGCCCTCCCCCTCACTCACCAGGATCTCCGGCACTTTCTTCTTTCGCTTCTGTTTCACGACCGGGGGTGAGATTCCAGGGAGAGTTGTGTCTGGGGTGCAAGGCTTCGCAGGGACCCTGGGGACCTCAACTAACTTTGGACACACCACAGGTGAGACTCCCGACAAGTCTTCTGCCCCTAGCAGACTCTCAAAGCCAAAGCAGGACTGGCGGCCTGGGGTGGAGGTGGACGTGGAGGCAGAGCTCAGGGTCTCAAGCCGGCTATAGGACCGCCTGACTTTCTTAGACATTTCCAAATCTCTGGCATCCAGGTCTCCTTCTCCAGAGTCGAAGTCAGAGTTCAGGTTTTGCACAGGAGTAGTGGTTGGGGTGGCTGGGGTAACTGGGCTAGGATGTATCTTGAAACATTCTTCCTTAGTGGGCTCCTTGTTAGGAGGGTTGTTTTCTTTCTCCAAGAGAAAAGAAATCTGTACCACAACAGAAAAATGACTCCTGTTACTTAGCAGGAATACTTGCTTCCAGAAAAACCCAAGATTTAGGGTAGAAAAACAGACCCACAGGACAAACAATTTAAAGGAAAAGTGACAAATCAGATACTGAAAGAGATATGGGGAGGAGAAAAAAACAATCCGTCATTGCTTCTGAGTCTACTTTTGTGACACAAGACTTGTTACCATCTGCTGGCAATGTCAGCTATTTCCAAAATGTGCCCAGCATTCAGTCCCCTCCTTCTTGACTGATGCAAGCCCCTACTATGTATCTTCTAGACCAGCTTGGTGACCTCCCAATTGCTCTCCATGATTTGACCCTTACCATCTATGATCTGTCTGCTACATAGCTGTTAAGGACTGTCCTAAGACATCCAGTCAATATTTATTGGCATATGTCCCGTGCCAGGCACTGTTCTAGGCACTGGGAGTACAGTGGGGGAGAAAAAGAGAAAACCCATGCTGACATGGAGCTTCCATTCCAGCAGAAAACAGATAATAAAGACATATACTACACTAGAGGCATTAGGTGCTACAGTAAAAAGCAGAATACGGTAAGGTATTGGGGTTGGGTTAGAATTTTAAGTAGGTGCAGGTCAATGTAGGCCTCACTAAAGTGATAGTCAAGCTACAACTTGAAGGAGGTAAGGGAGTGACTTGTGGATATCTGGAGGAAAAGTGTACTAGGCAGTGAGAATAGAAGGTGCAGAGCAAGAAGCCCGCTGGGCATGGTGGCTCACACCTCTAATCCTAGCACTGTGGGAGGCTGAGGCAGGTGGACTGCTTGAGCTCAGGAGTTCAAGACCAGCCTGAGCAAGAGTGACACCCCATCTTAAAAAAACCATTAGGGTCAAGGAATAAGGAGGCCAGTGTAGTTGGAAAGGAAGTAAGGGGAGAGGAACTGAAGATGAAGTTCAAGCAGTAATGGGGAGGGGTGTGGCATTACAAGATACTCTGCCAGCTACTGTCAGGTCTTTTGGCTGAGCGACCAAGAGAGCCACGGCGGCAAGGCTTTGACCAGGAAAGGCACAACCTGACACATGTAGTTAGAGGCTCACACATTGCTCATGATCCCACTCTCAGCTCAAATACTGCTTCCTCAGCAAGGCTACCCCTTACCAGGCCCTCCTTACCTCTGCTAGTTATTCTGTCCTCTTTCATTTCCTGCACAGCACCACTGCTGTCTGATTTGGGCTAGTTCCCTGGTTGACTCTGTCTTTCTGTGTCTGGCCAATCCCACCTATACCTAGCACTTACAGCAGAGACCTGCATGTCGCAGATGCTTAATAAGTACTCATTGAACTAATGCACAGGGAAGTTAGCACTGAGCTAGCTTTTTGGTGGCCAAGACAGGGGAGGAAACGAGACAAATTTAATGACTCCTATGTCTCATATAAGGAAGTTATCAAGAGGTACATTTCCTGGCTATAAGCTCTGGAGAATCTGTATCATGGGTTTTAGGAAAAAAGGATGCTGAACAAAACGGAGGTCACCCCTGACTACTTTCTCATCCCCTATAGGTAAGCCCAGGTCCTTGAAGCTTTATCCTAATCAATGTCTCATGAATCTATTGGTTAACCAACAATATCTATCTATCTATCTGAGTATCTATCATGGAAGAGGCACAAATTCCTGCCCTCAAAGCACTCATGTTCTTAAGTGAGAGACAGTCAACATACAAGCACACTATCAGATATTGATAAGGCCTAAAGAGATTTACACAGATAAATATGACAGTGACAGGGTAAGAGTAGTCAGGGAAAGGATCTGGGAGGAGGTTCCCTTACAGCCCAGTCCTGTGTAATGGGACAGTCATGTGGCAGGGACTTTCCCTTCAGGGAAGTGGAGCATCACCCTGCCATTACCTTAGTTAAAGCGCACAGACAAAGCAAACTATTGTTCCCTAAACCTCATGATTTTTCTTTGGACTCTAGCTCTCTGCAAGTATGGCTTCCTTTCCCTGGAACACCTCTCCATGTCTTTAAAGACTCGGTTTAGGCTTGGTGCCCATAGGACAGTAGTTATGAGGCCAGCCACATGCACTGAGGCTGGCGGGTTCGAACCCAGCCCAGACCAGCTAAAACAACAATGACAACTGCAACAAAAAAAACAGCTGGGCATTGTGATGGGCACCTGTAGTCTCACCTACTTGGGAGGCTGAGGTAAGAGAATGGCTTAAGCCCGAGTTTGAGGTTGCTGTGAGCTGTGACACCACAGCACTCTACTGAGGGTGACATAGTGAGACTTTGTCTCCAAAAAAAAAAAAAAAAAATTTCTTCTTCAGTGAAACATTCCCTGAGCTACATGGTCTGAGTTAGGTACCATCCTAACATCTAGCATTTCCTTATTGCAGCCCCCTCATGAATAGATTCATGAGACATTGATTAAGATAAAACTTCAAGGACCTGGGCTTACCTATAGGGGATGAGAAAGAAGTAGTCAGGGGTGACCTCCGTTTTGTTCAGCATCCTTTTTTCCTAAGACCCATGATGCAGATTCTCCAGAGCTTATAGTCAGGACACTATGTTGTAATCATTTGGTCATTTGTTTTTTTCCTAACTTGACTCTAACTAAGCCCCATCAGCTCTTCAAAGGAGTCAGCATTTCTCATTTATTTATTTAGAGACAGTCTCACTATGTCAGCATTGGTAGAGTGCTGTGGTGTAATAGCTCTCAGCAACCTCAAACTCTTGGGCCTAAGCCATTCTCTTGCCTCAGCCTCCCAAGCAGCTAGGACTATAGGCACCCACCACAACGCCCGACTATTTTTTTGTTGAAGTTGCCGTTGTTGTTCAGCTGGCCCAGGCAGGATTTGATGCCCACCCAGGCCTCGGTGCATGTGGCGGGAGCCATAACCACTGTGCTATGTGCACCGAGCCATTTCTCATTTATTAAATCTTCATATTTCTTGCTTATGAAATATTCTTGACAATAACTTCTGCTGAAACTATAAAAGTGTCAAACTACACGACTTATCTTAGAACAATCATAAAAACTGAGGGTAGTTCAAAGGAGTAGGCACTGGCCCCATATGCCGGAGGCACCGGGTTCAAACCCAACCCCGGCCAAAAACTGCTTAAAAAAAAAAACTGAGGATAAAATGAATTAAAAAGAAAATAGAGTACCTGTACTTAGCTCAGCTTTTCAGGGAATCTTTAAGGAGAATGGTATTTAAAAAAAAAAAAAAAAAAAGGCTCGGTGCCTATAGTTCAACCGGCTAAGGCGCCAGCCACGTACACCTAAGGTGGCGGGTTCGAATCCCCAGCCTGGACCTGCCAAACAACAATGATGGCTGCAACCAAAAAATGGCCGGGCGTTGTGGCGGGCGCCTGTAGTCCCAGCTACTTGGGAGGTGGAGGCAGGAGACTTGCTTGAGCCCAGGAGTTGGAGGTTGCTGTGAGCTGTAATGCCACGGCACCCTACCCAGGGGGACAGCTTGAGGCTCTGTCTCAAAAAAAAAGGAGAATGGTATTAATACAACAGGTGTAAAGAGCTAAATGTATTAAGACCGCAGGGAGTAATCAAGACTGGCAATGTATGCAAATGCCCTAAGGCAAACTGTTTCACATTGCTGCAAAACAACTCCCTGGACAGATGTGAGCAGCCAATATGAATTGCCTGGCTCTAGAGTGACCTGATTCCACTCAACTAAACAGATGAAAGTGAACTCACCCTAGAGCTCCTGCGAGGCGAGTTGACAGCTGGGCCCTGTGGGAACAGTACCAATGATTACACAGTAGCCCTCAGTATTGCCTCCTCCACCCACAATCTCCTCACACACGCACACACCCCTTATGCCTTACCTCGAAGGCATGGGCCACAATCTTCTTCAAAACGATGGGCTTTCTGACTGGAGCCGCGTGGGATCCCTGGAAAAGAGGCGTGAACATGAGCTCTACATCATTAGTCTAGAGCATCTAGGAAAGGAACTAAGAAACTCGGAGCTTACCTTCATCCTTATTTCAGGGAGGATGCTCGGGAGATCAGAGGCTGATTTCCGCTGGGATCTCCGCAGAGACTTAGGAGACGGGGCCCTGAGCCCTAGAAAGAGAAAAAAGTTAAGAGGTAGAAGTGGAATCTAGGCCATAGAGTCTAGAAAACAAGTTCTAGAGAGCGCGAGAAGCTTCCCAAACAAGCCCTCCACCCTCCGGCGGTGGCAGTGGGAGGGCCGCTCTTCATAGGACCACGTCCCCCAAACGGCTCGGCCCCAATTCTCCCACGCGAGTCCGCTCACCAGATTGCTGAACGGCCCCTCCGGACCGTGTTTCCCTCCCAGACATAACTAGTCCCGGTCTTGATCTTCTCTTGCGAGCTCAAACCAACCAGGAAGGTCGCTTTCCTCAGGAAACGTTCGAATTACCCGCCGTGCAGGGAGGAAGCGGAAGTGACGAAGGGCAGAAGAGGCCTCTGCGACAGATTGCCCGCCCCCCGCCGTCACTCATCTTCACGCCAACGTCGGCAGAGGCGTGGTCCAGCAGCGCTGTGGCATCATCGGCACGCGCCACACCCGGAAGAGACGTGGCAGCGGAGGGATAATCAGAACAGCAGCAGCTGAAAAACCGCAGCATCGGCCAGCGCAGTCTCTGGCCTTCCGCGCCTCGAACGATCTCTCGCGCCGGTCGAGACCGGTGCTGCGGCCGATCAGTAACACGGAGACGGGGGTCTGTAGGAAAGGGGGCGGGGCCTGGAGGGGGTGGGACTCAGGAGGGGCCCTGGGGGCGGGGCCGGCGGTATCTGGGCGTAGCTGATGGAGGTGCCGGGCCGGGGGTGGGATCCACGAGGAATGAGGGGTCGCGGGAAGTGGGGTTTATGCAGGGGCGTGATTAGCCATTGGGGTTGTGGGCAGGAATATGGGGTCAGAGGTAATAGGAGAGGTGTCTAAGTGAATTTAAGAATGGAAATAAACTGGCAGCCACCAGAACGTGGTTCCTACTAAATCAGGCCCCCTCCCCAGGGTCGACCATGGGGCTTTGCAAGTGCCCCAAGAGGAAGGTGACCAGCCTGTTTTGCTTTGAACACCGGGTCAACGTCTGCGAGCACTGCCTGATAGCCAATCACACCAAGGTGGGGCCTTCACGGGAGCGACTGAGCAGGGCACTGGGTGGGCAGGTGATACTGACTTTTCAAAATCTATAAGAGCCCCCACAATAGAATGTAAGCTCCACGTGGGCAAGGCTTGGTTTATATTGTTCACTGCTTTATTCTCACTTCCCAGGACAGGGTCTGACAAACAGTATGTGCTCAATAAATGTTTATTGATTGAACAAATGAAAGGATGAGTCTCCTCTGTGTCAGAGAAAAATAGTTAGCTGGGCCTTAGGGCGATAGGCTGTGGAACACCCCCCACACACACACACACACACACACACACTAGTTATGATATCTCTCTCCCACTCCAGTGCATCGTCCAGTCCTACCTGAAGTGGCTCCAAGATAGCGAATACAACCCTAATTGCCGTCTATGCAACATACCCCTGGCCAGCCGAGAGACCACCCGCCTCGTCTGCTATGGTGAGGCCTTGGCATCTTGGGGGGTTCAAGGAAGCCTCAGGGCCCAGCTTGGTAATTGGTTTTCAGGCTCTCCTCAAGCAGCAGAAAAATGATTCTTCCAAGTCTGGGAGGCCAGAGACCCATCTTCTAGTCCTGTTACGTTATTTACCTGCTACGTAAGCTAATGCGAGTCATTTTCCCTTTGTAGGCCTCTGTTCCTTTCCTAAAAATTAAAGCTCCTAGTTCTTGCCCTGCTGAACTTACAGGGTTAAGTGAGAGCTATTCCAGCTTGTGTGGTTGTGGCTGTGGCTGTGAATGCTAGCTAGCTAGATCAGAATGGTTCTTTCAGATATTCAGGATCCCCTACTTGGCCCGAGACTAAACAGAGAGGAAGTAGGTTTCCCATGGTAAAGTTAGCTAAAAGTCAGCAGACATATGTGTCATAACTTGGACTTGAGTCTGGCATAAGAGCCTCAGTCTCAGTTTTTGAGGGAGCTAGTGCAAAAGAGGCAGCTCCACATCTATTTCTCATAGTGAGTGTGTGTGTCTGCTTGTAAGAATGTGACATACATTGTGTCTTTACATGTTAGTGTGCTCATTAGTACTTGTGGGCAGGTGAGTGGGTAGATGTATGCATATGAATGTATGAACATAGTGTGTTGTGGGAGTGCAAAGGGAATATGTAGTCGAGGGTGCTGAAATGTAGGCAAACCTGTGTTTATAGATGTGTATATGTGAGGACTGTCTTACGTATAAATATACATATGGTATTTGGCACTTGTGTTTATGTGTTTATAAGCATGTGTTCATTTGTGCCTATGGATGTATGCAAGCTTATGTATGTCTGTGTGTATGTCTAGGTACCTTTACTGAAACCTTTCTTTATTAGCCATTAGCCCAAGGAGTGTGATGAGTGCAGGCCCAGAGAGGACTCAGTGGAAGGGGGAGATGGCATTTTCTTCCCACTCAACCCTGCCTCTCTAGGGGCTGGGTAACTTGGTAGCATCTGCCTTGACTTAGTCAGATGAGGGTAGCCAAGGAGGCTGAAGTCTTAGGGAACACTGATGGAAATAGGGGGTGAGGAGGGAAAGTAGAAGACTCTGGCATACACAAATGTGTCCCGTACATCCCTGCAGTGGTCTTGGGGCTGTTGGTGGGTTAGGAGCCCTAAATGTTTTCTTCATGTCTTCTCTTCCCCGTCTCATGGGCTCTAAGATATCTTTCACTGGGGATGCATCAATGAACGTGCTGCCCAGCTACCCCAAAATACCGCACCTGCTGGCTACCAGTGCCCTAGCTGCAGTGGCCCCATCTTTCCCCCAACCAACCTGGATGGTCCTGTGGCTTCTGCATTGAGAGAGAAGCTGGCCACAGTCAACTGGGCCCGGGCAGGACTGGGCCTCCCTCTGGTGAGAGTCTGTCTGTCTGTCTGTCGGACCATCTATTTGCCCTGGGCCCTACCTCAGCCAGATAGGTGAGTGGGCACAGCACTGGGCAGGCTGGTGACACAGGTTCCTTCTTCCAGATTGATGAAGTGGTAAGCCCAGAGGCTGAGCCCCTCGACACTTCTGACTTCTCTGACTGGTCAAGTTTTAATGGTAAGTGGTGGATTCTAGCTGTTGTTAACACCTTAGCCTCCCTGCTCTGCTAACAGCTCTCTCCACCCACAGCCAGCAGTACCTCCAGAGCAGAAGAGATAGACAGCACCTCTCCTGACCCAACCTTCTACAGCCAGGCTCCACGGCCCCCTGCTTCTCCAGGCCGGACTGAGCAGCACACGGTGATCCACATGGGCAGTTCTGAACCCTTGACTCATGGTGAGCCAGGGGATTATCCAGGCCAGAGAAAGATAGAAAGGAGGTGGGAAGGTTCACATGGAGAAGCTAAGGGATCCAGAGGCCCACCTGGGGGGACTCTACACTCCAAGCACAAGCATTACCTTCCCCACAATTCTGAAATGCTCTGTTAGACTGGGGAGGGCAGGAGATCCCCTGCCCCTCTACAGAGGGGCCAGTATTCCCTGAGTCTGTTGATGCTATGGCTCCACCTTGTAGCCCCAAGGAAGGTGTATGACACACGTGATGATGACCGGACACCAGGCCTTCATGGGGATTGTGACGATGACAAGTACCGTCGCCGGCCTGCCCTGGGTTGGCTGGCTCAGCTGCTCAGGTACACAGGGTCAGGCAAGGCAGGATGCTAGAAAGGGGAAGAGAGGGAATGAGAACCCGAGGCCCTGGGAGGGGAAGTTTCATGATGGAAGGGGCTTGGCAATAATGGTGTCTGGTGTTGGGGCTATGTAGAGAGGTCTTGGCTGGGTAGTAGAAACCTTAGTAGGCCCCTCTCTGGGGCTCTTTGCCTCCTATGCAGATTTAGACTCATGCACTTTGAGGCCCCTTCCTGCTCTGACACCCCTCATCACTGAAACTCTCCCCTGTGCCTGATACATCCTGGTTTCCAAAACAGTCATGTGCCTCAGCTGGTTTGAACTGTACAATAACCCCATACAGGGGGCAGGTGCAGAAGTGATCATCCCCATGGCACAGATGAGGACATTGAGGTTCAGGGATGATGACAAGGGCTCATTTCCAGGCATGGGGGCCGCCAGGGGCTGAGAGCCTGACCTGAATTTCCCCCATCCCCACTAGGAGCCGGGCTGGGTCTCGTAAGCGGCCACTGACTCTGCTGCAGAGGGCAGGGCTGCTGCTACTGTTGGGGCTGCTGGGTTTCTTGGCCCTCCTTGCCCTCATGTCTCGCCTGGGCCGGGCCGCAGCTGACAGCGATCCCAACCTGGACCCACTCATGAACCCTCACATCCGTGTGGGTCCGTCCTGAGCCCTGGCTTGTGGCTAAGCCAGCCTAGGACCAGGGGTCCTGTGGAAGGGAGCCAGGGAGGCCTGGAGGCTCCTCTTCTGTGCTCCTCACTCTCAAGCCTGAGACACTAAGATCCCAGGCCCAAGCCGAGTCCACCAGAGTGACTGCAGGCTGGGCCTGGGTCCCTGTAGGTCAAGCATTTTTTCTTGACCTGGTTCCCTGGGTCTCCAGCCTTCTACATGCACACCACAAAGGAGCTAACAGGTGGAAATAAACAATAGACTTTATTAAAACACCCGAAGCAGTCTTTTCCTTCTCCCTCCTCAGCCCTGTCCCCAGTGCCCAGGCCTCAGTGGTTTTCCTCACGGTATTCGATGGCTAGAAACTCCAGGGACAGGCGGTTGAAGAACATGGCTCCATTGAGCACTAGGCAGAGGAGAGAGTCCCCATTAGTGCCAGTAGCCTCCCTGCTCTCTCCTTGCCACATCCAAGGGTTCCAAAGCTCCATCTCCCCTTAGTACCTCCCTACTCTCACCACTTACGTAGGATGGTGAGGGCAAAGCACCGGAGTAACTTGTTTTCCAGCATCTCTGAGTAGAGTGACCCCATGGCAGCCCAGCAGATGCTGATCACCTGGGAGAACTGTAGGCCATTTCAGTGGGAGAACGGCCCCTGACAGAAAAGTGGGGTTGTCATTAGCCCCTCTGCCCTTCCCCAGCTAACCCTTGAGTCCCTGCCTTGGGCCTACCATCAGGACGACAGTGTATTGGAAGCTCATGCGGTCATAGTGGTGGGTGAAGCAGAAGTTGTTCACATCACTGGCAAAGACTGCCAGGTGTATGAAGAAGAGCATCAGCGCAGCCACGGTGAGCATCATGCCCTGTGGGAAGGAGAGCACAGCTAGGCGGTCCCGCCACCGCATCTTACCCAGAGCATAGACACGTCAGATGCAAGCAAGTAGGAACTGCCTGGGAAAAGCAACAGACCCCTGCAGTTCTAGAGTGCCTGGTCTAGAATGGCAGTGATGGTATTCTACATGGAACCAGGAGGACAGTGGAGGGGACAAGATTCTAGAACACAGGCTGATTCCAACAAGTATCTGAGTATTTCATGGGTGGCTGGGGGTGCTTTGAATTGTGGAGGGGTGGGCAAAGGAGCAGATCAGTGGGAGCATTAGTGAAGAGACAGCATCCCTTATCCCACCCCTCGCTCTGGACACTTGGGGTACATCTTACTTGTCCCCTAGAGGAGGTAGTATGGGCATGTTCTACAGAAGTAAGGACTGCAGCTCAGAAGAGATGAGGGGCATGTTTTACGTTTTAGGCCGATGAGAGATTTGGACCTATTTGTGTAGCTGGAAGGTATTTACTGATGAGGGAGGCCTGGCTGGATCCCAAGTTCCACGCATTGGCTTCCCCTGTGATGGGGAGGACCCTGAGATGGGAAAGGATAGTGGATTCACCACACAGCTATCCTGGTACCTCCCCCATTTCCTCCCCATGTTTGAACCTGGCTCCTCTGTCCTCTCCCCAGATGTTCTTACGGGGCCCAGTGCTGATCAGCTTTCCCCTCTGCCACCTTACAGGTTGCTCACAGCATTTTCAATACATTGCTGTCATTATTTCCAGGAGTCCCATTAGAAATGTGGGGCTGGTGACAGAAATATTATTTTACACTTGAGTTGAGGTACAGAGAGGGATTGTCTTACTCAAGCTATCATGGCCAGTGACTGAGAAAGTCAGTACTGAACCTAAGATCTGGTTTTATCTGAGGCTGTGTTGACTGAACAAGGTAGATGCAATCCAGAAAGTTTCTTCCTTAGAACTAAGAGGTGAGAACCCCAGGGCTGTCAACAAAATAAGCCAGAAAAATAGTGTAGAGTAACATGCAGGCTCCCAGGGATTGGTGTAGGAAGAAGAGAGCCTTGATGTTGAACTCAGCCATCCTATTGCTTCTTAACCAACTGTCTGGCTCCAAAAGTTAGGTCCAAGTTTAGGCCAAGACCCAAAGTCTTCTGCCTCCAAGTAGTAGAATTAGAGCCTGCACTCACCAACCATGCTTGCTGCCCAATCTGTCACCAGTCACAACAGGTCTTAACATTCCCATCCTAACCACATTAAAGGAATGATACCCCCCTGCCCAGCCTGGATCTCACTGAAAGAACTGTTTGCACCTTCTCTGAATAACAAATGAACTTTCATACATTAAAATTCCTAGCTTAAGGGTGCCACCCCTATATACCAAGGGTGGCAGGTTTGAACCCAGCCCCAGCCAAACTACAACAGCAACACACAAAAAAATAGCTGGGCGTTCTGGCGGGTGCCTTTAGCCTCCTGAGTAGCTCAAACTGAGTAGTCTGAGGACTACTTGGGAGGCTGAAGCAAGAGAATCGCCTAAGCCCAGGAGTTGGAGGTTGCTGTGAGCTGTGATGCCATGGGCACTCTATTGAGGGCAACAAAGACTCTGTCTCAAAAAAAAAAAAAAAAGGGTGGGGGGCTTGGTGCCTGTAGCACAGTGGTAATGGCACCAGCCACATACACGGAGGCTGGCGGGTTTAAACCTAGCCCAGGCCAGCTAGAACAACAATGGCAACTGCAACAAAAACATGGCTGAGCTACTAGGGAGGCTGAGACAAGAGAATCTCTTAAGCCCAAGAGTTTGAGCTTGCTGTGAGCTGTGACACCATGACTGTACCGAGGGCGACATAGTGAGATTCTGTCTTAAAAAAAAAAAAAAAAAAA